AACAACATAATCACACACCTAGTCGCCGGTTTTCGTACCGGAAAATGCAGCTAAGCCCGACCAACACCTCGGCAATGGCGGCCTCAGTCTTCTCCCTATCCGCGAAATGCAGTGTCTGCAACAACAGAACATTACCCTTCGTCCCATGGCCATCGAATCTCATCCTCTCCAACACATTCCTCTCCATCAGCCACTTCAAGCTATCACGGGCCATGGGCCCGAGCCACCTCAACATCTCCTCCACAGCCTCCTTCCACCCTTTTGCCAGCAGCTCATCGTTTTCCGCAAACCTCATGTTCTTCCCCAGCTTCATCCTCAATGCCGATTTCAGATTCTCCGGTAGCATCCGGTAGAGTCCCTCCCGCTCATCGTGGCTGATCGGGCTTTCCGAGCCCAGGTACTTCTCGGCAAGTACAATCACGTTGGCATACAGTGTCGTCAGGCCCGAACTGCCTACAGTGTTGGGCCCGGCCGAGTGGAAAACCCCATCCAGCCCGTGGCTTGTCTCGTTGGGGAAGTCGATGGAGGACCTCCATCTGAGCAACTGGACGGGCTTCGATTCGGTAAGCAGCGGGCAAGAATGGGGGAAGATATTCGGCCCGAGATTCCCCTGATTCGGCCCGAAAACGGCCTGGATTCTTACGTACACTGCGCATACGGTTCGGGCCATGAGATCCACGCTCCGGTCGAAGGTTTGACTCCAGAGAGAGGTCTCTTGGAGACGACAAACTTCTCTCCGGTGATTTTCGAGCTTTCGGCTGAAATCGATTGGGTCGATCTTCATCATCTCCACCTGCCGGCGGCTGAGCTGCTTCAGCTTCCCCTCGGAGATCTCCAGATCGGTCAGAACGTCCATGGCCGACCGCAAATACGACGTCGTCGAGGCCAGTTTCTCCATCCTCCGAATTCTTCTCCCGGCCATCCTCGATCCGTACAGATCCGATTTCCCCAAATTGATGAACCCTAACTTCAGATCCGCGTAGACGGATGCGAACCGGTTCAGGCCGCTATCGTCGCACTTCTTGCCCAGGCAGGCGACGGCGCCGGCGGCCCGGTCGAGATCCTCAAGCTTCTCGGCGCGCGCGAGGCTGAGGAGGAACTCCTCGTCGCCGGAGTTTAGGAACCGGACGCCCTTGGACAGGATGACGTCGTTCTTCAGCCGCGAGATTTCGTCGTCGGAGAGGGAGGTGTAGAGGGAGACCAGCCTGGACATGATTTTCGCCGTCTCGAAGGCGAGAATTCCTAGATTGGAGGTTTCCCTCTTTTCAAAGGCGGCGAACCGGCGGTGAGCCGGCTCCGGCAGCCAGGCCAAGGCCTTGAACCCAACCATTGCCCTTTACCGTTCTCTTTTATCTGAAGATTAGTTAGTTAGTTACGGAGTTTTTCAGTGAAGGAAATGATATTTTAAAAAACAAAAGGTTATGAGCTCCAAGTATGTTGACCATATGTTTGTCGTTTTGTAGAGTTGAATAGCATGTTAAAAGCTATTGAACTGTTATCGTCTCGATTCGATTCGACTCGACTTGATTTTTGATAAACGAGTCAAATTAAAACTCATTTAGACTCAACTCCTTAAGATTTAAAATCGAATATTTTTATATCACGACTTGTTAAGATTTAATTTCGATAAGTTCAAACTAGTGTATTGCAACGAGTTGAGATTGGTTCACTCTCAATTAAGGAGCATTTCTCATTTACTCCTCTATATATATTTAATTATATTACTGTTTAGACACATTATTGTGTTAGTTGAACTAACTATTAGTCGAGTCGACCCGATATATTATATTAATAAAAATGTATATTTGTTTTATGAAATATTATAATTTATATGTTTATTTATATTGTTTTTACAAGTATGATATATTAGGTTTTTAAAGAAAATGATTGTCTAATGTTTATATATGGCAAAAAAGTAGTACTCTTTCCCATCTCCCTTACTTGAAGCTTGAAGTAGCCGTTACATCTCAATTAGTATTGGCATTATTTTTCTATTTTTTTTACCAAATCACCAAAATTATTTCAAGTATTGGTGAAATTCGCAGCTTCCCCATTGATCTTGTTTTAGATGGTTTTAATTTAATGCTCGTGTTTGTTACGGTCCATTTGAGAAACCATTGATTGCAAAAATTTCAAGTTTTCTCATTGACCCATCAAATGGACTTCTTTTACTATTTCTTTTCCACAAAGATACCTGTCAATGGTGTGACGGCCAAGACTAACGAGTGAGTCTTTTGATTTGCTCAAATTCGATAGAGCCAACAAAATCAATTGTGTATCACAAATTTATTTGGGACTCACAATAAAGCCAACAAAATCAATTGTGTATCACAAATTTTTTGGGACTCACAAATGAACAATGACTTTTTGTAATAACCTAATTCATTTGAAACCCTGCACATATTTGTTGATCTTTTGTTGTCAATATTCACCAAATATAAAGAATTTAATATTTAAATATTGTGTTTTAAAATATAATATAAAAAAAAGCATGACATTCAATAATATAAATATCATATTTTAAAATATAATATAAATAAAATTAAAATTTTCTATCAATTAGCACCACGTGTTTGCTTGTATAAGCCTTTATAATTGGTCAATGGACATGTCTATCTTTTTTTTTTTGTCAATCGATAGAGAATCTCATTAAACACAAACTAGAGCAAACGCCCTAAATACAACGGAAAAAACAGAGAGAACCATACACGAGGTATGGCCTAAATCACTCTAACACACTCACCACTCACCCACAACCATTACGACCAAACCAAACGCCTCCCAAGGGAGAAAATTCGACTCCCCACAAATGATCAGTCAACTCCCCAACAGGAGAAAAATCGACTTCCCACAGGAGATCAGTCAACTCCCCAACAAGATATCAGTCTACTCCCACACAGGAGACTATATCAACACAACTCAAACCACACAAAACATAACACAAAACCACAAAACACAAACCAAACAAGCTACCCCTACAACACAAAACCCAACATGACAAAAAACAAAAACATACTAAAGGCAACATGGACAGGGCTATCTAGACAGTTAACAGTGCCATGTGTTATTTTGTACTAGTATTAGACCTTGTGCATTTGCACAGATGTAACTAAAATTAAATATTATAAGTTATTTGTATGCATATAATATTAAAATTATGAGTTAAACGATAATATTATATTTCAAACATATAGTATTATAATAATTGTGCGTATAATATTAAAATTATAAATTATATAATAATATTACATTTCAAAATTTGATCATTAGTTAAAATAAACAGTACATAAGATTTGATTGCATACGAATCACTATATTGATTGCATAAAATGTAATAAATATATAGATTTTTGTAATTTTGAGTGATCATGACCAATTAATTAGCTGAAAAATATTAAATTTATTATAATAATTGCGTATGTGATTTTAAGAAATTATACTATGACATAAAAAAAAATTAATTTATTTAAAAAACAATAGCTTAATCATATAAAAAAATATAATATTAGTTTTAGTGTAAAATATAATTTTATGTAACTTTCATATATCATTTAGTGTACAATATAATTACTAATTTTAATATTGACTATTATATGATTCAATAAAAACTATTATAATATTCAATAAAAAATATAATTATTACTCGATTAACATAAAATATAATAGTTTTTGTCTTAATTAACCTAAAAAAGTATAATGAAATATTTTATTATTAATGAGATAGGGTGTATTAATTAATGTCACATAGGTAAAATTTATTAGGTTCTATTTATTAGGTTTTATTTAATGATTTGCCACATAGATAAAATTTATTAGATTTTATTTATTAGATTAAATTTATTGTTAAGCTAGCAATTATATACATATAAGTAAGCCAGTATAGTCGGTCGATAGACATGTCTAATTGTAATTTTTCTAAAAATATATATTTATATTATAAGAAAGGCTTCCAAACATCAAATAACTAATTAAAGAATTAATTAAAAAAAACACCTAAAACAAAAACCACATATTACCAACCTCTATAATTAGTCTATTCATTATCTACACTTTAACAAATATCCCCA